TGGAGTGGCCCAGGTTGCAGACGATGCAGCTGTTCGTCATCCTGTCCAGGTGCTCCCTGGTCACCACGTTCTTGTTGCCTGCGAGGAGGGAGGGCAGAGATGAGCCCCAGGGCAATGGAGATCTCAGCTGGCTGAGTTCTATTTCCCTGCACTCGACTCTGAGGAGCTCGGCTTGGGGTAACGTCAGGTGAACTTTCACCGGGAGGAGAAACTCCCGGCTGGGACAGGGAAGCACAAGGGATGAGGGTTGAGCTAGGATAAGAGGAAACGGCCTCAAGTTGCCCCAGGGGAGGTTGAGGTTGGTCCTGAGGAACAATTTCTTGCCCTGGAGGGTTGCCCAGGGCTGTGCCAGGCTGCCCAGGGCAGTGGTGGAGTCCCCACCCCTGGAGGGGTTTCCAAGCCGTGGAGATGTGGGGTGAGGGACACGGGGCAGTGGGGACCTGGCAGTGCTGGGGAAGGGTTGGACTAAAGGATCTTAAAGATCTTTTCCAACCAGAACAATCCTATGATCTTTAGGTTCTAGGAGACCCCAAACCACCCCTGGGACACATGGCTGTGATGTCCCTCCTCCCAGGGAGTCCTCCTCCAGCCAGAGGGGAGAGATAGGAAGAAAATCTCTTGCCAGAGCACAGCTATTGCTCTTGTAAAACGAGCAGTGAAGTGTCCTCCACCCCCAGCTCCCCCTGGAGACACCCACTTGGGAGCAATGGCTTCTTCTTCAGCCACCATCTCCTCCAGCCCTACCTGTGCAGGTGATGACAACATCCACCTGACGGATGACTTCACTCAGTTTCACCACCCGGAACCCATCCATGCTGCCAAAAAACACACAGAGAGGGACCACGATGAGGAGCAGAAGCCTGTTGCCTCTCTGCCCCAAGCCAGGAGGGATCTCAGCACCATACCCTTGCACCAATCCTGCTCTCACAAACCCTGGAGGAGCTGGGGGATGTGTGGAGCATTCAGCCAGCCCTGTGTGAGCCCTTCAGCACCTTTCCCAAGCCAGCCAGGGCAGGTGCCAGGAACCCCACAGCCCTGAAAGCTGCCCCAGCTCTTCCTCATCACCCCCCAACAAGATGGATATCACCCCAGAAAAGCCACAAATCCTCCTGGCTCCACCTCAGCCTCTGTCAGAGCTTAAAGGAGGCCAGGGAGCAGACGAAGAGATGCTCACAAGCAGCAGGCAACATCTCACCAAGCCTGGAGAGCACAGATGGGGTCGATCTCCGTGACGTAGACGATGGCTCCCAGGGCTTTCAGTGCAGCACAGCAGCCCTTGCCAACCTGCCAAGGCAAAGCACCAGCATCAGGCTGGGCACAGGGGCACCAAGGGCTACAAGCCCTCCCCAGAACAGCCCCAGCAGGTCCCAGCCTGGGAAATCCTCATCCCAGCCACCAGCCTGGCACCAGGAGCAGCTCAGCTGGGTGAGTGGCACTTCTGCTGCAAGCCCAGCTCCCCATCCATGGCCACCAGCCCCCAGCATGGCCACCAGCTGGCAGGAGCTTTCCAAAACCAGCACAGTCACAGCCCCCCGCGTCGCAGGAGCCCCTCTGAGCTCTCCTCCAAGAGGAGATTAAAGCCAGGCTGCACCAGTCTGCCTCTCAGCAGTCCTTATCAAGAGCTAAAGGGCCCCCAGGGGCAAGAGGCTGGGGCCAGACTCTGGTCAGTGGTGCCCAGGGACAGGACAAGGGGCAACGGGCACCAACTGGAACCCAGGAGGTGCCACCTGAGCAGGAGGAGAAACTTCTTTGGGGTGAGGGTGCAGAGCCTGGAGCAGCTGCCCAGAGAGGCTGTGGAGTCTCCTGCTCTGGAGAGATCCCAAACCTGCCTGGCTGTGACCCTGGGCACCCTGCTGTGGGTGAGCTGCTGGAGCAGGGGGTGGGATGAGATGATCTCCAGAGGTCCCTTCCAACCTCTACCACGATGTGAGTCTGTGATTCCCCCAGCTGCCTTTAAGCCAAAGGATTTCTTCGGCATTCAGAGCTGTCCTGCATGGATTTAGGGACAGATCCTCCAACCCACACTCCCCGCAGCAGCATGGGGAGAGCAGAGCTCCTGTGACAGCATCTCTGAGTCTCTCCCTGTCCTAACAACATAACGAAACTGCAGTCCAGCAATCAGGGCAGTGGTGGAGTCCCCACCCCTGGAGGGGTTTCCAAGCTGTGGAGATGTGGGGTGAGGGACACGGGGCAGTGGGGACCTGGCAGAGCTGGGGAAGGGTTGGACTTGATGGTCTTAAGGGTCTTTTCCAACCAAAATTATTCCATTTTATTACAATTCCACAGCACTCACCCACACTACCACTGGTTATTACTGGTTATCATGCACATATCTATGCTCAGCCCTGTTTTCTGACCAGCAAGATGCAACTGGGCAAGAGACCTCTCCAAGAGCCACCCTCACTTATCACCCACCTCCAACCTCAGCTCTACAGAGAACAGCCAGGCAGAGCAAACTGGGGCTCCAACCCACATCCAAAGGGGAAACCAGTGAGGGTGGAAGGACTCCCTTGTTTTGAAGACCAGTAAAACCCAGGACAGGCCCTGGAGACTATAACTCCCAGCACAACTCAGGGCTGGGGACCCAGAGTGCCCAAGTGAGAGTCAGCACAGCCTCTTGGTCGAGCTGAGCTGGGCTCTGCTGGTGTCTAAATAAATTAGGAAGCACTTTCCTGTCAGGAAGAGTGTTCACAGCTCCTGCCAGGCCCTTTGCAGCACGGGAAGACAACCACCCACACAGCCAGCACACAGATGGAGGGAAGGTGTCAGCTCCCAGCTCCCTGCTCTTCCAGGGCAGAATCATCAACAAGTTCAGGATTCAATTCCCCTCTGCCAGAACAAGATCTACCAGCACGATGCAGCCAGTCCCTCCAGTTCCTCTGCCACAGGCTTGGGGACAGCCAGGCTGAATGCTGACCCTGGTCCAGGGACAGCAGATGGGAACATCCAGAGGCTGTTAGAAATCAGTTCCCAGTAATTCATATTTCCAACCCAGCTCATCTGCAGGCAATCTGGGAAAGCTGATGCTTGTTCTCCAGCTTCCCAGCAGGTTCCAGCAAGATTTCCCCTGGTAATTGCTCACCAGGTTTGATCTGCTCCTGCAGGAAGGAGCCTTTGCACAGGGAAGCAGCAGGAGGCAGAGTTCAGGGGGAGGCTGACTCAGAGCTCCACCAACCACTGCTTAGAAAACTCACCTCCCCATAACCACAAACCACCACTTGCTTCCCTCCAAACATCACATCCGTGGTCCTCTTCAGGCTGGGGGACAGAGAGAGACCTGTGTTGGGATTAGTCAAGCGCACCCCGCTGAGGGCCCCAGGCCAGAGCCCCCCCAAAACCAGCTCCTGCAAAGCACCCAGCTCCTCCAAAGCAGCCAAGAGCCTGAGCTCTGCTCGAGAGGAGCCTGAGCCAGACCCACCCGTGGGAGAGTGACAGTGGGGCTGGGGAGCAGGGTCCCACTCACCCGTCCAGGATGGACTCCCGGCAGCAATACAGGTTATCAAATTTCTGTTTGGTCACAGAGTCGTTCACATTCATGGCTGGGACACAGAGTTTCCCAGCCTTGGAGAGCTGGTACAGCCTGAGAAAGGGCAGAGGTGGGTCAGAGGAGAGAGAAGCAGCCCAGGAAGGGATCCCCAGATCAGCCCCTACCTGTGCACGCCGGTCACACTCTCCTCCACAATCCCCCGGATCTTCTTGAACACGTTGGGATATTTCTTATAAACCCAGTGGGTCAGGTCCCCACCATCGTCCAGGATCTAGAGAACAGGCAGGAAAGAGCATGGAGCAGTCAGGGAAAAGCACTCAATGGGGACAGGATGGAGAAAAAGAGATGGAGAACATCTTCAGGCACTGATGGAGAGCTGGGCCTGCAGGTCAGGGCTCCCAGGTTGTCCCAGGTGTCCTCCAAAACAAACTTCTCCCCCCCTGTGTGGAGCTGATGGCTCCCAGCAGAGTTTTCTGCTCCTGCTATTGCTCTGCAGCCTGGAAACGTGACCACAGGCAGCACTAACTAAAGGGGCTGAGAGCAGAAGGATGCCACAACCTTCATGTCCCACGAGCCAACAGTGGAGAGGAAAGGCTGGGGAGCTGCCCTGGCCCACTGAGACACGCTGTCATGTCAGCAGTGAGCATGGACCATGCTTCAAGGCAGTGAAGCACCAAACTCCAGCTCCTGCTCTTCAGGAGCCCCGCTTCAGCAGGGGCTCAGGGGCCTCTGCAAAGCCAGGAGGAGCCCAGGCAGGCCAAGGAGGCTCCAGAAACAGCCCCAGAGAAGCAACGGGGAGGATCATCAAGTGACAGCTCCACAGAGGAAGAGGAAGGGCTGGGAGAAGGGAGAAGGCTCATTACCATGTTGGCCTGCCAGCCATCTACATTAACACAGCGGTCAATGCACCACCAGAAGTCATCCTCTGACTCCCCCTTCCAGGCAAACACGGCAACACCTAGGAGAAGAGGAGAATCCTTGGCATCAGGGAGACCTTCTGGCTCTCCACAGCTCCTGACAGGAGCCTGGAGCCAGGGGGGGGTCGGGCTCTGCTCCCAGGGGTAGGAAAAGAGGAAACGGACTCAATTTGCCCCAGGGGAGGTTGAGGTTGGCCCTGAGGAACAATTTCTTGCCCTGGAGGGTTGCCCAGGGCTGTGCCAGGCTGCCCAGGGCAGTGGTGGAGTCCCCACCCCCGGAGGGGTTTCCAAGCTGTGGAGATGTGGGGTGAGGGACACGGGGCAGTGGGGACCTGGCAGTGCTGGGGAAGGGTTGGACTCCAGGAGCTGAAAGGTCTCTTCCAACCCAAACGATTCTATGATTTGCTGAGTTTGGCAGACCTCTCTCCTGCTTGGCCAACTCAGAAAAACCACAGACAGGAGGACTAAGGGGCCATGCAGAGATCCAACCACATCCCACAGCAGGCTCAGACCTGTTTACCTCTCCTTAGAAGACATTGGGTCCAAACCACCCCTCCCAACCAAAGATCTGGGAAGAGGCTACAGAGCCAGGACGGGGTGGAAGTGCTGAGTGTCTCCAGGGCTCAGCTCTAACTCACCAGCTTCTGCCAAGGCAGCAGCCACTTCGTTCTGGGTGGAGTAGATGTTGCAGGCAGCCCAGCGGCACTGCGCCCCCAGCGCACACAGCGTCTCGATCAGCACCTGTCAGAGGGGGCAGCTGCAGGGACGGGCACGAGCCTGGCACAGCCTGGTGCAACGGGCACCGAGGAGCCCATCAGGGAGCAGAGAGGGCACCCCTCAGATCCTGGGGTCAGTTTTGG